AAAGAGAATTCAGTCATAGACTAGCTCACATGCTCAGCCCCGCCCTTAGCTTTTTCCCTTCCTCCTTCATTTCATTAGTCCTTATTCAAGATGTAACGTTAATGGATTTGAGGGGATAGTCTGACAAAAATAAAAATTCTCTCAATTACAAGAACATAGAAAGAATATGGTACCACAACAAACAATGTGTGAGCAGGACCATCTGCCAAAACTCAAGGTTCAGGTTCAGGTACTGAGGGAACCAATCAGAGAGGACAAACAAGGACACAAAAAAGGAAGAAGCTGTAAATCAAACAACTCTAAGCTGTACATCCCAAAGAGCTGAGCCTCTGAAGAAAAAACAGACGTTACACTTTAAAGAAAAGTTCACCAGGATAACACAGTGTCTGGTGTTAATCCGACATAATCCCCACTGTAAAACAAGGTGGTGTCACCAGCATAATGGAATGGTTTTCAGTCAGTAAAGGGGATGGGAGTTGTGTAAATTTTGGGAATTAAAAAACTTTTATTGGACAACCTGCTTTAATTCTGCTTCAATTTAGAGATTTGAGAATAAAAAAGTGCTGTTAGAAAAGAACCCACCCAAGTGGGACTAATTCCAGCAGCTGATATTATTATTCATGTATATGAATGTTTTGCATTCATAGCTAATATTAGTTCATTCTTTGAAATGTTTTCCTTCTTTAAAAGGAGTTCCCTGGTCTGAGAGGAGCTCAAAGGTGTTTCCTCTTCTAGCTATGAAACGTCTGAGTGACACTGAGAATGACTCGGTTTCCATATTTTGGAGGAGGCTGGTTCACTGCAGCTAATACACTTAATGATTAATGACCAAATGTGTTAGCAGCTTCATGCCACTTTCACCAGTGTGGAAATGCTGGACTGCAGCTTGATGAAGAGGACTGCTCACTCTGATGAGTGTAACAATGAAAGAGAGACAGGAAATGCTCCACTGTGAGAACTCTAATTTTCTAATATCTACCTTCCTCCAATGGCGTCTCTTCACTGTGTTCCTTGTTATCAGCATCACGGCCCAGAACTGAGTGAAGGAATGCTTCAGACGCTTGAAGTACTTCCTGAAAGAAGGAATTGGGTAATTAAACTCAATGTTCTACATTAATGCATTAATAAAACCTCAATGTCTTCTTCTGAAAATGTAGTATGTTTTCCTTAATTGACCTGTTCAGTTAATACATATGTTGGCAATGTTTCATCTTTCTTCCAAGGGATGGCTACATTACTCAGGTATGTCAGTTCAGCAAAGTTTCAAAATGTGAAGGAGAATACATCCAAATGTAATAAACAATATCTAACATCACCACAGGACTGGACTGGTGCCTATTTACACTAAAACACTCCTGTTGATTCATTTAACCCTGAAATAATAAGAATTTTGAGTTGGCTTAATTGGTAAATTTAATTTAATTATAATTTAAATGTACATTTAAAACAAACTCCAAATATATAAGCTCTGCTATACTCAAATGTTTGAGTTTCAGAACTCAAAAGAATTGTGGCAACTGATTGCCTTACTTTTTTTGAGTACTGCTAACTTATTCGGGTTTACAGTGTAAGTATAGAAAGATAGATAGATAGATAGATAGATAGATAGATAGATAGATAGATAGA